ATTGGTCAACTTGTTTAGCTCGGAGTTCTGAGGTAAAACCTGCCTGTTTGCCCCCACCTCCCTCTGATTGCTCAGCTCTGGATCTCAGTGTTCTGAGGTAAAAACACAGTTAGAAGAGACTGCAGACAGTTGAAGACAGTTACAGAAATCAGCTATTCTAGACTCCTGAACAGACATTTTTCCAAAAAGCCAGCATGGCAGTTGAGTTAATGAATGTTCATGGGGAGATAGCAAAGAAGAATTCTAGGAGCCATTTCGATGCGTGCCTCCCTCATGAACCTGAAGAAATGTCCACCACATCACCACTCCCTCACACCAACTCCCCCTCACACCTCTCACCTCTTACTGCCCCCCCCCAGAAAGCTCCTGGCAAAGCCAGATACACCAACGCTACAAGGAGGAGGCAACTTAGGACTGCGGCAAAGACATTTGCACGAAGAGTGGGGTATAAACCCAATTTCTTCTTCTTCCTCCTCTTCTTCCTCCTCCTCCTCCTTTGATGGTGAAACAGTTCTTCTGGGACCTTGTTCAGCTGTACCTTCCACTCCTGCCTTCAGTTATTTTCCTTATAAAAATGATGAACCAGCCTTTTAAGTTGCTAGTGACCTTTGAAGTGGCACTCTTAATCATTATTTGGTCTGCCAGGAGATCATGTGAACTCTCTGTGTTACAATCTTAATATACTTTTAATTAAAATATTTGTAAAACTGATGTGCTAGATTTCCATCTTAGGTCAAGCCCTTGGGGGGGAAGTAATTGCAAGGAGTATTAATTAACAAATGTAGGAGAGGGACTCTATTTTAAAGGTAAATGTGCTCTTTTTATTTTTTGTAGGTTTCCATTTTATTATGAACTCAAAATAGCTTTTGTAGCTTGGCTGTTGTCTCCGTACACAAAGGGCTCCAGCCTGCTATACAGGAAGTTTGTGCACCCAACACTGTCCTCAAAAGAGAAGGTAAGTGGTTCCCCTTACTTCAGTAAGGATTATTTAGGGGAATTATTTAGTTCCTTGGATATTTTTTTCATCTCCAGATAAGGTGTGTTTTCTTGTCAGTTTTGCTCTATAATTTTATAGCTGAGAGTTGCTAAGCGTGCAGGGAGCTCACCCTCGGACGTTGAGGGCGCAGAATCCACGGGGTCAGGGTCCACGGGGTCGGGCTGCACTGCGGGCATGACGTATATATTCCTCATGTCCATATAATGTTAAGGGTGAGTAACGGCCTAACTTCTATATCCAAAGGCAACGGGGGTGAGTGGTGGTGTAGGTGAAGCTTCTACCCCTTCCCTCTCCGTGTTTAATCACTGTAGGGCCTTTTCTTTCAATCTGACATCAACTCAGAACCTCAGATATAGAGTGAGGGGTGGGAGATGGGTCCAGCTCCCCTCACCTGTGAACCCCTTTTCACAGATTACATGAGTAATCCAACATGGCTGCCCTGTCAGGTCTAGTTAGACTTCAGAGTTGCTGTATCTGCAGCATCTGAGAATGGGGACATGAAAATACTTAGGCAGAGTTTGTAACCTCGTTGCCTTTTGAGATTGATAGGCCAAGTTTCTTGCTGAGCATGTGCTTTTTATTTTATGTGGCAGGAAATTGATGACTGCTTAATCCAAGCAAAAGATCGAAGTTATGATGCCCTGGTGCATTTTGGGAAACGGGGATTGAATGTTGCAGCAACAGCTGCTGTGATGGCAGCTTCCAAGGAAAAGGGGGGGGGGTGGGGGGGGGGGGGGCGCGGTCACATTAACATCTCCCACCATTGTCAGCTGTTCATAGACGAAGGCAACCATGTTACCATATATTGTGTTTGGTAAGCTGCCTAGAATTTTTTTTCCATTTTTTACCTGTCCTGAGATGAATAAATTTATTTAAATATATATTTTTCAAAAAATTATTTAAAAGTGCATGGTTTTATTGGGAGGACACACATATGAGCCTCCAGAAGTAACAAGATTCCCACTGATTCTTTCGAGATAGGGTCAGGACTAGGTGGGCGGCCGTGTTGGTCTGAAGCAGGAGGGGGACAAAGGTTGAGTCCAGTCAGGCACCTTGGAGACCAAGAAGTTTTATCCTGGGTGTCAGCTTCCCACAGCTTCCCACAGTTGCTAGCAAATTCTGTTTCTGTTGTTTGACTGCTGCTGTAGTGTATTTGAGAGAGAGAGAGAACTCCACATTTTTAAGAGCTGTTCTGCAAATTCTTAACTGTGTATCCAATGCTTGGATACGACTGGAGTCTGGGAATCTTAGAATTGAAGCTGGGGTATGTACTCTATCCGTCTACATGTGGCTGAAAGGTCATTTCAGTCCACAAGGCTCGCTTCCCCTGATATTCCAGGAAGATTTCCAATCCAGTTGGATCAAGGCAGTTCACTATCATATTCATAGAACTGGCTTCTCACCTCAGCTACTCTTATCCTATGGATTTGAACAAGCCAAAGGGCTAATTAAACAAAGAGTGGAGGATATTGAGCGACAATCTGACATCTCTAAGGCTTCCAATATCAAAATAATATTAAATATCAAAAGCACCATTGAGCCGGCAATATATTTGACTTCTAGTCAAATTTGAAAGAATTCTAGAAGGGCATTTGCCCTAGCTAGATGTTCTGCCGTTCCATCTGCGGTTATTCAAGGCAGGTACAATAAAACCCCCTACTCTGAAAGGCTATGCCCATGCCTTTTAAGCGAGGTTGAATCGGTAGAGCATATGTTCTTCAGCTGTCCATCTTACAGGGAGGCTCGTCTTAAAATTATGACCCCATTACTCGATAGGACACCTGGGCACATGAATACAAACAAAGCAAGGCTCCACTGGCTCCTATCAGATAGGGAATGCAGAGATTGCACATTCAGTCGCTGAGTTTTGTGCATTAATTTTTAGATTGCGGGAATCGCGTTTTAAAAGTTTTTAAATTCAGATTTCTATTTTTTTTCTCTCCCTCACATATCATGCTTACTCTGTATGTTGGTCTTAAGACCGTAATAATAATTAACTAAACTGAGAGAACTGTTATAGACTTATCTTGGAAGTTTTCTTTCCCCTCCCTGTGTTCTCACCTCCCCCTACTGCCTGATCTCATTTATTTTGTGTTGCATTGTTTGGCTGTTTGCAGTATATACATTTCAGGTGTTATAGTGTGCTGGTGTTAACCTTTATGTGATTGAATGACACATTTCCTTATCCATAGCATATTCCTGTTTCATTGTGTCTTTGATATTGTTAAGTATTGAGCCTAAGCCATTCCTCAAGCTGTACCTAGAACGGGTTGAGCTTACTTCTCTAGAACAATAGCTCGCCTAGATCCAAGAACAAACCAATAGATAAGTGGTGTAATGTAAATAGTCTATCACTCGGAGTGGGTATATGTTGGGTGTGGTGTTTGCATTCTTTATAAGCTGGGCTCAAGCCTGGCTAGCTGTTCTTGTAGTTTGCTGAAATCACTAAATAAACTCGAGCCGATCACTGCAATGCGTCCAGAATCCAGTAGTTAACATTGGCGACGAGGATGGGATCCTGTTGAGCCAGCCCAGTGCCCACCAGCACTGCACCATGCACCAAGCTCCAGTGCCACACACATCGCCTCACTCCCAGGACCATGTCTGCAGCTCCAGGACACTTCGACGCATTCGATGCCACCGCGGAAGACTGGGAGTCGTACATCTTCCGAGATCAAGGAGGAGGAAAAGAAGCGTGCCACATTCTTCCGAGTCTGTGGCTGCTCGACCTTCGAGATCGCCCGTTCGCTGATCGCTCCCGTGGAACTCAAGAACACCGAGTACAAGATGATTTTGGATCAGCTGAAGGAACACTTCTCTCCGAAGCCATCCGTCATCACTGCCCGCCACGCATTCCACACAAGGAACCAGGCCGCGAACGAATCAATCATGGCCTATGTTACAGCTCTCCGACGGATCACCCGGCACTGCAGCTTCCATGACCTCAAGGACGTGCTTCATGACCGGCTGGTGTGCAGCCTGAGGGACGAGTGGATTCGCCAAGGGCGATCCCAAATTCAGGGAGGCCCTGAAATTAGCCCTCGCTGCGGAGGCCGCTGACCAGTTCACCACAGAGGTCTGGCAATCGAAAAGCCCGCCATCATCATGGAGGCCTACCTCCACCGCCCGCCACATGGACACATTCAAGGAGGAAGCTCCTGAAACTTCAGCATCCTACATGCGGCAATGCTCACCCCTCTGCCCCTCCACGCACCATCGACACTGCCACATCAATGCCATGCACCAGCTGCGGGAGCCCCACAAGTGGAGATCCTGCCTGTTCCGGGACGCCAAGTACAGGAACTGTGGGAAGGTCGGCCACATCACCCAAGCCTGCCATGCCAAGGGAAACCGGAGGCGACCAACAGCAACCCTGGAATCCATGCATACTGTGGAATTGCACATCACCTCCAATCAACAGCAGCAGGTACTGAACTTGCCCCGGGAGACCCCCCGATAAAATTACAGTGATTGTCTTGATTGTGGGAAACCCCTGCACGATGGAGCTCGACACGAGGTCCCCCATCTCCATAATTTCAGAGGACACCTTTAAGAGACTCTGTCCGGGGGGGGGGGCACCTCAGGCCTGTTGGTTTCACCCTGCGGGACTTCCAACAGAATGAAGTGGTTGTGAGAGGGGTGGGTAAGTTCTGGGTACAGTACCGGAATGTTGATGTACTTTTGGACTTGCTGCTGGTGGAGGCAGTCGCACGAGTCCCCTGGGACTCTCCTGGTTCACACCCCTAGGGTTGCGAGTGACTGGGGTGCACCACATGGCCACGAAAGACTTCCAGAGGGTGTGTGATGAGCTCCTGGCAATCTTTGATGGGATGCTCAGTCGTTACACCAGGCCCCCGTCTCACTACAGCTCAACCATACGGCTGAAGGCTAGGCGCATCCCATTCGCATTGAAGTCTAAAATAGATGTGGAACTTGATCAGCTAGTGGCCCAAGGGGCTTTAGAGGCAGTTCCACATGCCCTCTGGGAAGCCCTAGTTGTGACGCCGGTGAAGCCCAATGGGGATGTCTGCATCTGCATAGACTACAAATGCACTATTAACAAAGCACTGCAGGACCACTCCTTCCCAGTTCCGGTAGTCAGCCACGTCTTAGCCTCTAGCGGGTGCCAAGGTCTTTGGAAAATTGGACTTGGCCCAGGCCTACCAGCAGCTACCGGTGGGCGATGTGACTGCAGAGACCCAGACGATAGTGATGCACGGGGCGTGTTCCGGGTATGTCGACTGCCGTTCGGGGTCAGCATAGCCCCGGGAATTTTCCAGAACCTAATGGACTCTCTCCTTAAAGAAATTCCCGGGGTCCAACCCTTCTTTGACAACGTTTTGATTGCCGCACCCATGGATGAGGACTTCACCAGTAGACTGTGCACTGCCCTGCAGCATTTCCAGTCAGCTGGCCTCAAGGTGAAGTGGGAAAAGTGCCTCCTGGGGGTTCGATGGGTCAAGTTCCTGGGGTTTGCAGTTGACACGGAGGGCATCCATCCAGCATCAGACAAGGTGTGCGCCATTGTTGATGCTCCCGCTCCTACCTCCAAGCTGGAACTCCAGGCCTTCTTCGGGTTCCTGAACTTTTATCACTCCTTCCTGCCCCACAAAGCTGCACTCACAGAACCGCTCCACCGCCTCCTTGACAAAAAGGCCCCGTAGGTCTGGGGCCAGAAGCAAGCTGCTGCGTTCCGGGCCGTCACCTCCAATGCGGTCCTGACCCATTTCAATGAGATGCAACCTGTCGTCCTCGCATACGACGCTTCACCGTCCGGTGTCAGAGCTGTCCTTGGACACCAGCTGCCAGACGGCCGGGAGGTCCCTGTGGCTTATTACTCCCACACCCTGTCTTCAGCCAAGCACAATTACACACAAATTGACAAGGAGGCACTGGCTATTGTCGCAGGGGTGAAGAAATTCCATGACTACCTCTATGGATGGCCATTCACCATTGTTACGGACCACAAGTCCCTGCTTGGTCTGCTGGCTCCGGATCACCAGCCCCCCCCCCCCAGATGCTCTCGCCTCGTGTGCTGCGCTGGTCGATCTTCCTGGCAGGGTACCAGTACTCCTTCCTCCACTGCCCAGGAAAGGCTAAGGGACATGTCAACGCCCTGTCACGACAGGGCCAGTGGGGCAAGGCAGAGAGGGGGAGTTCACAGTCCAGTCCGAGAGTCAAGCCAGAGAGAGAGCAAAACAACCAGAGCAAAAGTCCCAATACATAAAGCCAGGCCGTAGTCAGAGCGTTACCGAGAGTCAGAGTCCAGATAGGCAAGCGTCGAAGTCAAGATGCAGAGCCGAGGATCAAGAGCCAGGGGGTTGTCAAAACGCGGACTGGAGCCAGGAAGTCAGTCAGTAGCTGGATACCAGGAACAGAGTCAGAGGTGCAGAGCTACTGGTCCGATTAGCCAGCACGATTAGCCAGCACGATTAGCCAGCAGTCAGCGACCTATTCAAATAGCTCGCTGGGTTGTTAACTCATTAGTGCCTCATTAGCACTGCCTCGCGAAGTCTTTGATCCCGCTAGAACTCTGGGCTTATTGATCTCCAACTGTGCAAGCGTGCCTCTTTGCGTCTGGTTGCCAAGTCCCGGCGTCTCCGATCTCTCAGCCGGTCGACAGGTGGGGGAGAATCGGGTGGCGTGCTGCTGGGGCCAGGCACTGCCTGATCGGTTTCAGGTGCAGGCTGTTCTGGAGGCTGGTGCT